TATTTGAGCGGCGACCACAGCCCAGGTTTGCTCTCACATACGTGGAGCCCAGGGACACGCAGACAGCCCCACGCCACACTCCCACAGTCGCCAGAAATCCCTTTAAAATGATTGCACAGATGTCTTCCCTTGCATTTGAGCAGATATAAATCACAACGGTCTACTTTTAATTCCCAGGCCCAATGTCTAAGGGGCAACAAAGTCAATCACTTCCAGGTTTGTTTTCTGGATGTTTTTTAAATCTTCATAATTTTAATAACAATAACCACTACAATATGCAAGAAAACGTGAACACATCTGTGCAGGTAACTGCAATTCATCCCAGGGCACAGACTTCCTGTGTGACAGCGGAGCTGAACAGGTTTCCACCAGTCATCTTTGCAGCTGGCCTCCACGACCAGAGATCAGTGCCTCAAGGGCCTGACATGAATGAAATGGTTTCTGAGCTTAGACCCAGAGGCTTAAATGGCATGAAATTGACACAGCCATGGCCTATATATCATTAGCAGTAAGAGTAGGGGGTCTTGTTATTCACTAGAGAAAAAGAAGAGAACGACCAGATTTTCCTCAGTAAATCAAGGTTTAGGTCAAACAACTTGTTAGAAGATCTCAGTCCTTGGTTTCTGGCCTTATCTATCGAATTTTTTTTTTGAGACAGAGTCTCACTGTGTTGCCTAGGCTCGAGTGCCGTGGCATCAGCCTAGCTCATAGCAACCTCAAACTCCTGGGCTCTAGCGATCCTCCTGCCTCAGCCTCCCAAGTAGCTGGGACTACAGGCACGTGCCACCACGCCTGGCTAACTTTTTTCTATTTTTAGTTGTTTGGCTAATTTCTTTCTATTTTTAGTAGAGACGGGGTCTTGCTCTTGCTCAGGCTGGTCTCGAACTCCTGACCTTGAGTGATCCACCCGCTTCAGCCTCCCAGAGTGCTAAGATTACAGGCGTGAGCCACCACGCCCGGCCTATCTATAGAATTTTTGGTGGCACGAGAAAAGATAACGTGAGAACTTCACATAAATAAATAATTAAATGAAGGCTCTTAGTCCTTTCCAGAAAATCACTATTCAAATTTATGTGAGCTCCTCCTTGAGCCTTGAGAGCAGATGATACTCCATCAAATGTTTCCATGATTCTGGTTTATACCACTTTCAAAATAAAAGCCATTGTTAATGATGACACAAACCCTAACCCTCGATGGGCTCATTGATCCTTACCCATCGATGTCATCAGGTGAGGAAGGGCTCTGCCATTAGCTGTAGAAACTCAGGAGAGAGAGAGAGAGAGAGAGAGAGAGAGAGAGTTCTAGCCTCCTTCCTTTCTTTTCTTTCTTTCATATAAGTGAAAGCACCGTATATTGTTAGATGCCTTGGTTTTTTTTAACATAACAAAATTGGTACAAATTTTAAGGCCACTTATAAATTTAGACTTTCTGTTGTCTCAAACAGTGGTCTCCAAACCTGTTTGTTGTCAACCTTATCATTAAAAAGATAATGGTAAAGGCATACCCAAGATACGTATAATTATTTCTTCATTTATGAAGTCTAATCACGCCACTACTCTCCTAACAATATTACATTATGAAATTTTAATCAGAGTGGGAACTATAAAAGATTAATATAAGCATGAAATTTAAAATATTTAAGTTTTAAAAATTATATTTAATTTTAATGATAAAAATACTTTTGCTTTCTGAAATATTACTGTTAATATCTGTAATAGGATCAATGTATTTAATATGCTTTGGTATTTAAAAACACCTGGGGTAACCCTTTTGTCATATAGCAATTCAAATGTCTGGCTATACATTCAGTTTATTTTAATGCTTGGTTTCAAAGCCCATCACAGGTGAAAAAGACACTTCACAGATAGGTGTAGATCCAAATGGAAGAAATGCCTCATTGGATGAGCTTTACTAATTCCCAAAATTCATTTTTCAATCCCAGCTATCTTTTATGCAAGGACAATTGTTGAAATTTTCCTTCATTTTAACGGTTTCGTTGTTTTTGTTTTTGTAATATGCATACAGTAAGATGGAAACATTTCTAAACCTTTGTCTTCAAAATGCTTTTGCCATAGAGTCAATTTTCTTTTGAAAAGAAATTAACTTTCTCACTGAGAAAGTTTCGCTTCCACCTTGAAAGGACAGATTACACTTTTAAAAAAATATCTGCTAGGTTACATACTAACAGTAGCCACTTGCCATGGCAGAAAATGATAGCATGTTTGCAATATTTGTCTTTTTGTCAAAGAAAGAATCCATGATTCCGTGTCAGGTTCCGCACCTCCTTTAAATGCACTACCATGAAGTAACCAGCTCGGTACAAGAGTCCTACTTGGCCATTCCCCATCAAATTACAAAGTTCTGTAAAGATCCTACTATTTGAAGGCTTTGCTTTTATGAAATGAATCATGTTGGTAACATCCTATATGAATGTCAATTGCAATTCTTCGCAGTACGCTGGACCCAGAAGCATGACAAGATGCTACTGTGGACCCCTGCCCCATGAGACGCCCTCTCCTTGTGGATGTTGTCTCCTCGCAGTAATGTCAGTCACGGCCGGACTGTGGGAGGGCATGGTGACAATCCACCATTAAATATTAGTAAGGCTTAATTTTTGTTATCATTTTGAAATGAAACAAATACAGATGTTCTAGTATTTTCTCCTTGGACCTCAGTGGATCGTCTTGAATTATCTATGCACTCCACCTAGAAAGTCTCTACACATAGGACTCTTTCCAATTAAATTAAAAAACTAATTGTTCTTTAGTCTCTGAATTACCCTTCCCTTCCTTCTTTTAAAATAAAATATTTGCCAGATTCAGTCTCTGCAGGACTGTACCCTCAGATGAGTTGGCCAGGGTTGCCCCTGGAAGTTGCCTGGCAAGTTGTGCCCCCACCCCCACTCCAACCCTCCCCACTGTCTTAGTACCTAGGGCAGGGAGACGACAAAAATGAAAACATCTACGATTTCCATTTATTGAGCCATTATTTCGTGCCAGTCCCTAGGCTAGGTGTTCTATACATACAATCGATTCTCTTTTTTCACTGTAGTTACAATCTATAACATCTCTGCAAACAAAGATTTAGCAAATTCTGAACCATTGCTCCTAAGGGAAATACAGGATGAGGTTCCTTCAAGCCTCTGGTCACAACATTCTTGTCAACCGATCAATACATAACTTTGTTTTATATGTGTTTCTTGGTTCCCTTTTAAAATGTATATTGTTGGCTCATAAACATTGAACTCAGGGCCAACAGCACTATAACTCATGCCTGAACAAAGCTTACCTAACACTCATATTTTCTCTGTAAGTCACATCAAAGCCTGCTTACACTTAGGAACGCTAGACAGTACTTCAGCACTATGCTTAGGGGCATTTTAAACAACAAGATAAGCCACAAAAAGCACAAAAGTGCAGAAAACGTGGCGCTAAACAGACTTTGAATAGGACACTTGTTTAGTGTGAGAGCTGAAGCAAGAAGGCAGAGGGTCACCTTTTTCAGCCTCAGCTGGGAACACGTATGTTGGGCAACTCAAATTTTTTGCCACTCTACGCATGACCTGGAAAAAGAATGAGTATTAATTTGGGGGGTCACAAATACATTCTTAGCAAGTAGGCTGCATTTGCAAGTATGAAATCCACAAGTAATGAAGGTTGACTGTATCATCTCATAGTACCCTCACAAATAGGTACTACCCCAGTGAGGCGTGACCTGGAGGGAGCCTCAGAAACCTCCTCTTCCGGTTACCCTCTCTGAGTCTTTAGGAGGCTGGTATGATGAAGCGACTTCTCCAAAAACATCCAGTGCACGTGTGACCCAGGTGAGACTAAATCCCAGGCCTCCCAGTGCCCCTTCATTCAGTGCCCTTTCCAGTACATATTTATGGGACCAAAGGCAGCTAATTTAACTTGCAGATGGGGCTACACGAAAACCTTCTTGCACCCTCCCGCACCTCAGTTTATTCTCTGCAATAATTAAAATTTGCTTTTGATCAGAATGTTTGATTTGATGACTTCTAGTACATGGGGACAATGAACATTGTCTTAAAAAAAAGATCACAAACCTGAATTAAATTGTGCACAAAATGAGAAATTAAAAGAACAAACTCAACAAAATATTTGCAGCAAGAACCGGCTTTAATTTTTTAAATTTAGTTCTCCAGTGAGCCAATTCATAGATTGGTAATACCAGAGGGCAGTGATGTAGAAAAAGCCAAAACATGTTGTAGAATTTCAAAGAGATGTGAACACATGATGCATAAATAGGCAAGATGTGCCAGAATGTGACATTTTAGTTAGAAAATTGCTAACCTATGTATATTTGTAAATGTATATATTTGGATGCCAGCTTAATTTTTGATATTCCAACAATTATACAAAATTAGGTTGTTCTTTATTTGAGGAAAAGAAGTAGAGAACTTAAAACCCACATTAAAAATGGCACTTATAACTAATGTGGCCTGCAGGCTGGCGACATTCGATAAGTGTGTATACCTCAAACGAACAAACTAACTCAGAAAAAGAAAAGAAATGAAACAGCAAAGATTAAGTATGTTCTCTGAATAAGATCCTTTGCTTGTCATGAATTGGTACACCATTACTTGTATGTACGAGATCTCTACTTCAAAGAATGCTTTCATGCTAAAACTTTGAACATTTGAAACTCTCTTCCCCACAACTATTATAACTTCATCCCTTTCTTTGGGGTGATAATTCAGTTATTCTTATCCAATAATATTTACCAAACACCTTCGTATGCATACAGCATTTACAAAAAAAGATGTTGCTACATCTTTATTCATTTACCGCACTCTTCACTTACTCTTAGGAGGAATTAAAAATTCCGATTCAAGACCCCTAAATTTCATTTATCTGTCTCTGTCTGAAGCAGTGTCACAGAATCCATTCCTTTCATTCTTTAAGTTAAATCATGTAATTCTTACTCATGCACTCATGTTAATTTTGTGATAAACCATTTCCCCCAAAACAAAAGCTCGCTTGTTTCAAGGATAATTTTTATTGATGAGAAACAGCTTGCAGATATAAAAAGATAATTTTCTTGTTTATATGACATTTTCTGTTTTTAAATTTTTCTTTTCAAGGATTAAAACCTCTGATGTTCTCTTTTAGGAATGTAGTTAATCAACTATAAGGATCCCATCCTCTTCCATAAATGAATCGATTAATCATGTCGAAAGATCTCAGAGGCTGGTCATAGGGTAAAATGTGTCCTCCACCTCGAATAATTACCTTTAAAGAAGAAGAAAAAAAAACAACAGAAGAATTGAAATTTAGAGAAATAGATATTCTAAATAAATGAAAAATTTTAATTCAGACTAGGTTATATTTAAAGCTTACACGAAATATAGGACATGTTCTACCAATCCATGCCTTTGCATACACTGTTGCTGTTGATAGCTTTAATAATGGGGACGTTAAGGTAGGAAAGTTTTTAAATTGTGTAGTTAATTAATTTTATGCAAAGCTGTGTTCATCTTTCATGTGTGTAAAACTTGAAAATTACTCCTTGTGAGGAGTGATCTGCCTGCTCATTTCTCCTCTTGGGAGTGAGCTCTGTGCCGTAAGTCTCACCTGTTAGCTCCCTGAGGTTGGCCTGCAGCTAGGTGGAGTGTCTTCCTAATGCCACCCTTCAGTCAGCCAGCCCAATCTGCCCTCACATTAAGCAATACCTTCCATCCTAGCCTTTATCAGTGATAAAGGGGAAATTTTGATTCTCAAAAAAAATAAAACACCTGTTGGTTTTTGATTCTCAAAAAAATAAAATAAAATAAAACACCTTGACACCTGAAATAAAAGAAGGTCATCATTTGAGCAGCATAGAGTGAGAATATTCTTTTTCCCCATAATCCAGCAGTACTATGAAACATTTTCAAACATACAGTAAGTTTTTTGAAAATTCATATACTCACCATTTAGATTCTCTCACTAACATTCACTTCACTTTAATCCATCGTATCTTTTTGACACATTTCAAAGTAAAGTGGGGACAGTAGTACACCTTCCCCAAATACTTCAGCATCACATTATTAATCAGTATTCAATATGTGTCTATAGATTTTCTTCTTTTGAGTAAAGTTATGATATGATGACATGCACTAGTCAATGTAGACTCACCAGTTTTGACAAATGTATACATACACCTGGGTAACCCGAGCTCTTGTCAGGTTGTATAAAGCACTCTTAATACATCCCTAGTTGAGATGAGTTCAAATTGACACGAGGGCCCACCTTGAGCTAAGGTCTGCGCAGACAAAAAGGGGAGTGGTCTCTGTACTCATTAAGCCCCTAGTGTCAGCAAATATTCCAAGTAGAGGGAAAGAGGAAGCCTCCATGATTCAACGCCAAAAGGGCAAGGACCGACACAGAGTGGTGGGAGGCCACACGCAGGAGGGGTCAGTGTGGCCTGAGCTGTCCTATTGCATATATGGAGAACAGACAGGAGTTACTAGTGGATGAGAAAAGTAGACATGCGATTAAGGGATCACTTTCAGTAACTTCTAGCTGCTGAATCACAATCAGCAATTAAAAATCACCTCTACAGCCAGGTATGGTGGCTCACGCCTATAATCCCAGCACTTTGGGAGGCAGAGGCAGGAGGATCACTTGAGGCCAGGAGTTTGAGACCAGCTTGGGTAATAGGAAGACGCTGTCTCTACAAAAAATTTAAAAAAAGTAACCTTCACAAGGCCCTTCTTAAGAGGCTGTGTTCTTTTACCTTTCTCAATCTGAAGGGAAGTGAGGCAGGAAAAAAGTATATTTGTACAGTGCATTTATTACATTAAAAAATCTCCCTCCCACCTCCCAACACCCACCATCTTACAGCCTTGCTGTGAGGTAAATAGGATCAACATTATTAGATAAATTTTATCTTACAGCTCACAGCTGCGCAAGCTGTGCACTGAACAACTACAGGGAGCACCATTCACGTGAGCGCTGAGGAGATTGAGCTATTTGGAACTATTAGGTGGTTTGTTTAAGTCACACAATTGTAAGTGAGGTAACTATAATAGCTAGAACCCTGACATCTGATACAGACACCAAATCCTAGTTTTTAATCAACTCCTAGTACTTGCACAATAATTCCTTACCTTTGAGCTGAACTTTGCATCTTAATTGTAGAACAGTTTGACCCACCTCTCAACAGCCCTCTGGAGTAGGTGAGGGGGGCAGATCACCATTTGCAAACGTGGGATTGGACTTAGCCCTTTGACGTACCAGTGGAAACTTCTGTGTTATGCAACACTTGGTCAGTGGTCACTTGTGCCTTGTTGCAATGACAATAAAGCCCATCTACCATTCGTGTCCATGCTTGCAACTGGAAACCCCACATGTCCCACTTTTTGTCATAGACTGAAGGTAAACATATATGTGACAAGAGCCCCTTCATGGGACTCTACAGGAAAACCACAATCGCAAGCTAGGATTTTCTTCCCGCAGATTCTCATCCACATCTCCAGCCTTGGCAGGAATCTGATGAGTGATGTCTGTGCAGCTTCAGCTCGGCTGAGGACACTTAAGGAAGTCATGTGTGTGACAAAACCCAGCTGCTTCAACTGGAAATGAGTTTGGCAGCAATGGTCCGGGACAGCAATAAATCCAATACCTGAGAGCCAAAGGTCATCCTGCCTCCAGGACGAGAGCTGCAGCTAAGGGCAGCACAGTGTTGTTTTACAGCCTGGGCTGGAGTCAGCGCACAGGAGCATGAGACGAGAGAGGCACAGCAAGTTGTGTGCCCTTGGGCCAGTAATTCAACCTCTCTAAGCCTCAGTCGCCTGTATTGTACAATTGGGAAAGAAGTATTATCTCTTGGGGTAGTTGTGAGTTGTGTGAGGATTTAATGAAATAATGTCCCTGGAACACTCAGCACAGTGGCTGGCCTGGGATGGTATTCAATAAATATTAGCCATTCTCATTATTCTTCCAACAATGATCCATATTGAAAATCTAGAATCAAAATGTCTATATCAACCTAACTACCCTAGAACATCCAGTGTCCCCACATTCCCATAAAAAATCCTGGCTTAAAGGAGTTGTTTGAAACAGTGGTCCTCAAACTTGAAGGTGCATAAAAATATCTGGGCTTGTTAAAATGGACCGTGGGGCCCCAACTCCAGACTTTGCAATTCTGAAGGTCCAGAGTGGAGGGCCTAAGGATTTGCATATCTAACAACTTCTAAGCGATGCTGCTACCGTTGGTCCAACCACTTGCTGAGAACCACTGTTTAGAAGTTTTTCTGTTCTGTAGCAAACGAGGGAATTCTCTATTTACATCAAGGGAGAAGAGAAGTAGAAATTTAACACCCACTCCTGACCTCACTTCCTGGCCATCCGAGCTCCTGATACTTACACACATACACACACTCACAGGAGCCTTCCCTGTCCGCGGGAACATGTGGTGAAGAAGAGCTGAAGGGGTCAGGTGTTCTCATTCTTACTCTCAGTGACCTACCTGACCCTAGTCCAATTTCGGAGCTGCCATGTGTAATGACCCAATGACTTAGTAAATGGAGTGATTAAGATAGGAAAGAAAAGCTCATTAAGGAACAAGGTTATTCCACATGCCACAAAACTCCCAAAGTGTATTCTCAAGCAGATTCACCTAAAGCATTCTACCAATGCTAACCTCACAAGTGAATTTATGAGTGCTGAAAAATCAGCCACTCTGTTGTTTATGGCCACGCCACTCACTATTCACAAATCAGAGACAGAAACCACTCGACAGCGTTCAGAGGTGTGTAACAAAATGTAGCAGGGCTGTGATTACATGTTTAAATGGGGCAAGATTAATCTCAAGGCTCCCTGGATAGAAACTGTATATTTTGGGTGCCTCCACACTAGAGCTGAAGCCTCTCAACTCATGCGCTCCAGATGTTCCAGATGTTCTGGGGGGTCACAAATGTGTCATGAATTTAAACAGGGTTATACAAACACTTTAAAGCTTCATTCCACTTTATTTTTTAGCAAATGATACAATTCTCCCTGGAACCAGAAACCCAGACCTGGTAGTAAAGGCTTTCCAGTTGTGCCTTTTTAGAGGATAGAAGATAAAGGGAAATCCACACTGGGCGTGTTGCTGCAGATGTGTCAGGGGAAATTTCTCGGGGCTCTTGGAGGAGACCACTGGACAGACGGTGGAGGATGGGGTGGGGCGGAGGGGTGCTTTGCAGACAGAGAAAATGCAGGGGGCGTGAAACGGCATGCACGTGCAGCAGCCATAAGTGGTTCCTTTCATGAAGGAGTGGAAGGGAGGGATGAACAGGCAAACACTAGTGGGACCATGTGATGCCCCACGTGACATGCTGGGATGCCTGGACCTTATCCTGTATATCCTATAGTGTTGTGTTTTTTTATGGTGGTAAAATACACTTAAAATTACCGTTTTAACCATTTTAAAGTGTACAGTTCCATAGCATTTAGTACGTCCACAATGCTGTGCAACCACCACTATCTAGTTGCAGAATGTTTCCATCACTCCAAAGGAAACCCATACACGATAGTAATCGCTTCCCACATGTCTCTCTCCCTCACAGCCCCTGGCAACCTCTAATCTGCTTTCCGTCTCCATAGATTCTGCTATTCGGATATATCCTAGAAGGTTTTAAGTAGGGTAGTGATATGCTCATATTTGCATTACAGAAAAATGACTTAATATCTAACGGGGAGGCTGATTTGGAAGGGAGAGATACTAGGGAAAGGAGGCAAATTAGGAGACACCAAATCAGGTGAGAGAGGACATGTGCTCATGGGAGGGATGGTGAGAAGGGGAAGGAGATGGGGATATTGGGGTGGAACCAATGAAATTAGTGATTCATCAGACATGAAGGTTAAGTGAGAGTTTCCCCACCCACCTGCAACACATCCTTCCCATTTCAGGCTTCTAACAGGAGCACATTTGCAAAGGGTGTTGCTACCCGCCGCCAGGAAAGAGAAAAGAGGAACATGGGAGATGCAAGGTTGGGAGGTAGAATATACAGGAAAAGTTTATGATTCTTGTTTTCAACTACAGACTGATGCATGCACTCAAGAGAATCCTGCTTGTTATGGTTTCTGATTTACATGAAAGTTATTTTACTATTTTTATTCCATTCCACATTTACTAAATCTTACCTTTTACCTTTCAGACACTAATTATTAATAGAGATAAAATAAATAGTAACCCCCCAAAATTATTAAAAAGTACTTGGGAATGAGAATAAAGCCAAAGCTGGTTAGCAAATACCTCCTAACAA